CTCCTCTCTCCCTCCCTCTTCACCTTGCTCCCTCTCTCTCCCCTCCCCTCACTTGGCATATGACTAACCTCTCTTCCTTCACTTGTTACATTGCCAGGGTGTGAACTGTAAAAAAAAAATCAGACCTCACTTGGTGGAGAGAGAGGGCAAGGGAAGGGTAGCCGGTCCCTTGTGCCACCAAGAAGGCAAAGGAAAGGGCGTTTGGAAAAGTGGAAAAGGGCGGAATTTGGAAAAAGTATAAGTTGAAGCAAGGTCAGTTTGACTCAAGCATTTCCCCGACTGCATGACTATGAGAAGAGGATGGGTTGATTGAGCAAGGAAAGGGGACAAAGAGCAGCCAAAGAGCATGGAAAAGATAGGCATGTGGGAAGGGCTATGTGTTGACCCCCACCGGGGGATTGTATGGATCTTTGCTTTGTATGGGATTGTGCAGGTAAGTGAAGGTTGTGGATGCCGTGAGCGGGATAGGGCCGGGAGGAACCGGACATCAAAAGAAAAAGGGAAGAGGGGCAAAGGGGCTACGGGACCCTTAGCTTAAAGCCAATCCATGGAAATGACCTTTGCGTTTGAGACTTCGAGTGTGAATGAGGGAATGGAGTGCAATCTTGTCAAGGGAAATGTGAAGTTGTATGTGTATGCATGTAAAGGCCCCAAAAAGACTAAAGGGCCTGCATCAATAGGGTTGAATGCGAAGTATGAGACTCGATAGGTGCGTAGAGGCGAGGGGGAGGACGGCTTCGCCGCACCCCGATGACGCCGTAGGAACACAATGCTTAGGGAAATGGTGTGCGACCTAAGGATGACGCTTAGCCTGCGCACAAAAGAAGAAAACTCTCAAGGAACCCCTGGACTGCCTGCGTATAGGAAGGAGCAATTGTTTGAACACACAACCAAGAAAAAGAAAAAAAATCAGCGTTGCCGGACGACCAGCGAGACTGCCACCCGGCGTGAGGGCTGAGCTACATCCCCAATGTCAAAGCTCTCTCGCGCGATGGCCCTCCCCCATCCATCTCAAAGCACTAGGTGGGGATGGCCCTGTGACAAATGGTCTGCGACCTAAGCATTAGTGCGGGCAGGCCGAGCCAACTGGGACCTACAGTGGGGTTGACTAAGGCTCGAAAGTCTACCGGGGTTTGGCTCTACAAAAATGGTGGAGGCGACAGGCAAGGGTTAAACTGACCCTTGCGATTCCAACGGGGGCGTCCGACGCATCGACGTGTACACAACCCAAGATAAGGAAAATGAACTTGTGATTGCTCTTTCCCTTGTGAGAATCAAATTTGAGAGTGGTTGGGCGCATGGCATGGTCAAGCCTGGAGATATAACATGCATGCTATGCACTTCATTAAGCCGTTTCTTTGTGGAATGGCTCTAGCCCTCCTTCGTCCGGTGCTAGTGTTCGCCAGTCCGGGGAAGTTTTTGGCAAGTCGCAGGTCGACATTTCCTCTTCGTATGAAAGAAGGGCTTCGGTTACCTGGCAGGCGGTTGGTGCTTCGGCTTCGGTGGGGTTCCGATGAAAATCCCGAGGCGGAGTGATCCGACAGAACGGGTGTCTTTCTATCTTCTTCTTTGAGCCCAGTGGACTCGTGCACTTTGCACTTTTGAAATGCTTGAAGGAACCAACATGAACACAACGGGTCATCAAGAAGGAATAATCCCTTCGTCTGAAAGGACAAACAAGTGAAGAAAAAGGGAATGAAGGGAGTTGTTAGACTCCAAGGAAAACTAGCTCACCTTTGAAGATTCTCACGAGAAGGAACCAACCACTGTGTATGAGAATAGGGGGAGTGACACTCATTGTCCTGAGAGAAAATTCTGAGTTATGGGTAGGAAACGCTGGATGCACCAAGGGAAAAGGCACTTGTACTACGTGTGTCCCACTTGGGACTTGTGTTTGCATGATGRGATTTGAGCGTCCTGCCTTTCGGAAGGAAAGGATGGGTCTGCACCGGCCGGTGCGGGTTGCGAAACGTCGCTCTCTTTTGAGGTTGCCAGGTGTTCGTGTGTGGAGGTCAGACCATCGAGCTGTCGGGCGGGAGTTTGTCACGCCGGTTGATTAGTAACATTCTCGTCTGGGCGGTCACGAGTTTGGCTCGATGATCTTGCCCGGGCGGGGTGCAAAACGTCTCCTCAGGCGGGGCTTAGCCTGTTTGCTGGTGGGGGGAGTACCACTGCATACGGACAAGGAAGAACCTCAGAGGCGATTAGTAGCTTCTTGTAGCACGGTTTGGGAAAGGCTGATTTTTGTCGGACCGATGGAAGTGAGTGTCCGGACGGCTGACTTTTGTCCGTATATTTAGGCACGCGGTGTAACCCTCGGTGTCGGTATAGATGTGCAAAAGCGGCAAGACGGGATGGGGTATTCTGGGCAAAAGGAAAGGGTCAATGCCTTGCCGGAGCTTGGGTCCCGCTCTCGCGACGGTTGAGCTGCGCTTGAGGTATGGGATAAAACTCTACCGATAGTACCAGCGAAAATACCATATTGGGAAAAGGTCGGTGAGGAGATGACCGACCCGTATGTGAGATTGCCTGATTTTTTTATGTGTTCCCCTTCTGTAAAGATTGAGCGAGCTTCGATTGTGGGACGGGGCATATTTCTAAGTCTATTCCCCCCTCCTGCCTAAGTCTACACGAGTGAAAGATAATCGGAAGGAAGGAGGATAGAGGTCAGTTGGAATGAAACCAAGAGAAAGAATGTGGGGAAATTGATGGCCGACCGAAGGTATTATGGGAAGGTGGTACTTAGGAATGGGGAGGTAAATTAGGGAGACCTTGATGAGGGATCTGAAATAATCCTCATCTAGGACGAGGGTTGACCTGACCAGAAGGACCGTTTGGTACTCTCTTGTGAAAACAGAGATCGGGTGCTGGAAATACAATGGCGCGGTGGTTGTCTTCCCCGATCTACACCAGCGGTCCGGAAATGTCAGTAGATGTAAGGGATGAGGTATCGGTCGTCCTCCCGGAAGATGGGATATGGGCAGATCTTGAGCCAGCATATCAAACCGTAATGTTGGAAGGGGAGGATGCATTCATGTGGATAGAGACAGTATGAGTTAATGTTAGCTTGACAAGGTTGTCGTCGAGCTTAATGGATTTGGAGTTCCGAGGGACAGTGGAAGCCCGGAGGGTGGGTCTACTTGTCACAAGACGGAGAGAATGCTATGGTCATAGACTTAGCACTCGGGTATACGCCGGACGCGTTATTTAGGAAGGCAGAAGCGGAGGTTGTATAGGCTGCGTGTCAGCGGAGGGAAATGGAAATGGAAAGGAAAGATGTGCGGGTGGAACTTGGGGATAGGGGAAGCGTGAGGCAACCCGTCAGAACCATGCGATGTGTACTGCCTCCCTTTCTGGTGGATGCGGTCTTCAGAACCCGAAGCAGGCTAGTACGGATATGTCAGTCCATGACGAACCTCGGACTATACCAGTGCGTTAGGCAAGACTTATTTCGGTTGTCAGTAGAGTTGGGGTCGTTTGAAGGGAATTGGGCGGAGGAGCTGGCTGAGATGCTAAACTGCCTTAGCGTAGACAATGTCTTTGTCCCTAGCTCCGTGCATTGGGGGATAGTCTATAGAAATGTGGCAATAGAGGAGACATTTCTGGAAGGGGTGAGGGAGTTATTCTACAACGAAGAGGACAACCTCAGTGATGAGGACGAAGATGATAAGATAGAGGACTGAGACTTCTAAAGAGGGTGACTTACTTAGGGAGACTTAGTGACCTGGTATTGTGTAGGAAGGGAAAAGATGACCAGAGAGGAATTGCTGATGGAATACACCTTCAAGGGATGGGAACCAACGCATCTCGGGGGGGGGGTAGAAATGCCTATACCAGCAGAAAACGAGTGGAGAGGAACCACATGCGACTGGGGTGGGTTTGAGGTTGCCTCAGAATTATCATATGTACGGATAGAGTGGATTTGGAACCCGATAAGGGAAGAGGAAGACTGGGATGAGATAGCAGAAGGCAAAGTGGAATCAGTCGGGACGATCGTTCTTTTCAAAGACAGGTGGCGCCTATTTTGCACTATGTTAGCAACGAGACAGGATCCAATGTGGCTTCTAGGGGATGCAGAGGCGCGAAACGCCGCGAACCCGAAAAGAGGGCAAGAGGTTCGCCAATGAGGGATGAGACGAAGTCAGTAGTCGAGTTGTGATGGGGGGATGGAAGGAACTCAAGCGTCCCGACCTACGAACAACGGCGTGGGTGCCTGAATTCGTGGCCAAGTGGTTTGGGGGTTTCGAACACAGCGTAGACGTAGCCGGCTCCATGAAAGAAGTACACATAGAATGTGCTTGGCTGACTGAGGAATTTTATAGGATCTCGTTAAAATATGGGTCCTTCTACGGAGATAAAGTCGGGGAAGTCCTCACCGTCGTGAGGATAGGCAAGTATGACCGCCTAGAGGTGGACGCGGAGGCTTGGGACGTCATAGTTAGCCGGGAGGCGGCGGCCGCTTCATCCTACATGGATGATGTCTTTAAATTGTCTGACGTACTGCGGTTCGATTAAAGAGACCAGGAAATCGAACGCCGCAGGAAGGTCAGAGTATGGAGGACGGATGTAAACTAGGGTGTAACATAAGAAGAGAGGGGGTGGGGCATCTACATTAGCTTAGCAGGTCAGGAGAGGGGATTGAAACAAGGGAAGATGCCCGACCATTGTGAGCGTGGATGTAAAAGGGAAAGGGGATATAAGCGGGATAGAAAACAGTAGGTAGATGGGCGGTTGCTGAAGAACGAACCATAATCCTTTCTATGTGGAACTATGCAGAAAATTACTGAAATAGCAATGGCGTGTGTGGATGGAACGCCAGCCCCGGTACCCCGGACCGCCCTAGAATAACGGCGGGAGATGGAAAGTGTCAATTCCGTCAAATTTCAACTTTCGGGGGTTCGACGTGGAATGGCGGGCCGTGACTCTAGGGAGAGACAACGCCTTCATGTTGGTGGAATGTCGGTGGACGGGAATGAGACTCAACCGGGGACCTAAGGATGACCTATTTTCCAATTTAGAGGTAACTGGGGTCCTGTACCTACCCGAGGCTGGCTGACACTTGCTGGGGATAGGAATAGCTCAAGGCCACGAGTTGGCTCCAGTCTTTCAGAGGGCAGCCCGTGTGTTGACGCGGATGGGACAATCAGTCAGGGATAGAAGAAACGTGGATTTGCTTACCTGGTTGGAGATGGGAGGTTGGAGAGAATTCAGGGCCCCGACCACACCACTGAGGTGTCGGGTCCCCCGATTTATGATAGATCTCATCTTCGGGAGCCTCGCAAGGGTGCAGGAGCTGGCAGACTCGGCAATAATCTAGGTAGACCACTTCCCCTACCAGACCATCGGGATGTTCTATGACGTTGCTGTAGAACATGGGCCGTTCTGGGAAACAGAGCCCATGAATTACTGGAAGTTATCCATATCCTGATATTTGGGTTGCCACGGCTAGCCTGGGCGGAATACGAACACATAATCAAGAGGGAAATCGAGATAGGAGAGAGTTATCTAGTGGGGGTGGCTCAACTATTCGAGGAGCCTACAGAACCGGAAGGGCCACGAGGGCGAGAACGAGACTAGCACCCGGGGGCAGGCCAATAGGGCAAATCAAGTTTAGTCTGCCACGTACAGGGGCTCACCGATGGAAATAAGGAAGGACCTCGGACCCAGACGATCAAAACCGCTAGAGAATAAAGGGGGGAGGGTAGACTCTTAATGGTTGTCATGACCCTGGAGGTCGAAAAGGGGAATACTGCTCGGAAAAACTTTCTCTAGTGGGATGCCTAACCAGAACTTCTACTCGCCGGCCCGACGGAACAGGGACACTCTAAACGAGCCTGTGATAAAGGGAACTAAGCCGTGTCCCTTAGCTCCGTAGGGCGGCAAGGCCGGTCGTGGCTCCTTTTTAAGGGAGCAATCGGGGAACGGAAATAAGGAGAAGGCTACTATCCGGATAAAGATAAGCCAACGAAATCGGAACGTATGGAACTTAAATGCCTCGTGCTGCGTGTGTCTTGGGGAATCCTTTGGTTTTTGCAGAACTAGGCAAAATGGCAACGGAGGATGAGACGGATAATCGTAGGAGCGAAGGAGGGCCAAGGATAAATCCGTGCAGAGCGAAGAGGGTCAGAAAGACAGAGAATTGATAAATCCGGATGGTACCAAAGGGAACTGGAAGAAAATATCCTCGGGGGAAAGCTCGGGGAAAACCGGGGCAAGCAGGCAAGGGACTGAGGAGACCAAGGAAGGCAGAAATAAGGATAGGACAAGCCCCCGGAATTCAGAAGGGGTTGTGTCTAAGAAAGTGAGGGTCGCGGATGCGAGGCGCAAACTAGCGGAGATAGAAAAAAGGACTGTGGAATACAAGGCAAGATTAATCGAGGAAATGATGACTTGGAACGAAGAAGACCCTCTGCAGGAAGAACCGCGGGACGAACGGAGGACTGACCGAGGCGAAATTGGGCAAGGGGATAAGGGTAGTGACCGTGGGGGAACACCGAGCAAAAGAAGAAAAGAGAGAGAGAACTCCCCGGGGATGGAGGCAGAGAAAGCTACGAACCCACCAGCCATAGACAGTAGGGCTAGTCGTCTGCCGACCACGCCAGCAGTAACGCGAGGATGTGAGGAACTCTAGAGCCTTAGGGAAAGGGTGTTGGGATGGTTCGACCCGGAAGGAACTGCAAAGACTAGGGAGGGACAGAAGACCGGTAAGGAAGGACCGGATACCAGTATGGCGGGCGAGGCCAGTAGCTCTGAAGGCGGCCTTAGGAAGATAGTATCATCCCTCGCGCGAGCACTGAACAAAAATCAAGGCTACCTAGCAGACGCTAAGAAAAAGTTGACGTTTGACGGGGCGAACATCACGAAATTCCAGATAGATTACGAGAACCTGACCACGTTGTTGAAATGGACCGAGGAAGAAAAGATGGACTGCCTGGGGCAGCATGTGTCTTTGAGCTTGGGGCGGGACATAATGGCCATCGTAGCCGCGAGTCGATCCTGGAAGGAAACCCGGGATGTAATGATGAGAAGGTACCTGACAACCTGTGTTACCGTGCGTTCATTGAACGCGGGTTCCGCGTTCAGATTTTGAACGCGCTGAACTCGCGTTCACTGAACGCCAGTAAACGCGATTGACGCGTTTGCGCACGGGGTGTGTG